CGTTTGGGTATGGGGTGGCGGCTGCGTGTCGGCAGGCATGCCGAACGTACATGTGCACATCCGAAGCAACAGACACACCGTCACACGACCGCCATCGTTGTCGTCTTTGCAGGCACACCTTCATCGTCGACGTCTACGCCGTGCACTCCGGTCATCACTCGCACCATCGCTGTAGTCCGCCCCGGCGCTCCTGGATTCTTCTGTACTTGGCGACGTCCATGTCGACAGTACCAGTTTCGGCCATGGACAAGAACGGGGAGGCGGGCCGTGACACACCGATCACGGCGGAGAAGACGGCGGTGGCCGCGGCCGTGAACGCCATCCTCTTTCGGTGTCAAATGGAGAGGAGCGAGGGGAGGATGAGAGCGGCGGTTCTCGCACAGCGGAAGAGGATGCTGCAGTCCAGGAATGTGGACGACTCCGACACTGCTGCCATTTGCGACGCCATGCTGCAGGTTTGCTACGCCATGGGGTGTGGAGCTTTTCCCAGAGCGACGCCCAGGTGGTGGATGAAGCGACGGACAGGGGGGGCGTGGACGACACGACGTCCGACTACTTCAAGGAGAAGCTGCGCATGTCGCCACGTGTGTTCTGAGAGATCGCGGAAGCTCTGTCACCCTTCCTTCAACGGCGTGTCACTTTCTATAGAGAGCCCCTCCAACCTAACCACATTGCCGCGTACGCTTTGTACAAGTGGGCGTCGGGGGAGACGTACGAGAGCGGGACATGCAGCTTCGACATTGGCAGATCTTCTAGGTTGGTGGCTGTGCGGGATGTAACTGAGGCGTTGCTGAGTGCGTACCCCGACAAGATATCATGGCCGACGGGCCTGCAGAAGGCGGTCGTCTTGCACGCTTTCGCCGACAAGGGTTTCCCTAACGGCCATGGGTGCATTGACTGCACCCACATCTTCATCGACAAGCCAGCGAATTGCCCCAGGGAGGACTACTATGATAGAAAACGCCGTTTCTCCGTCCAGGCGCAGGTGGTCGTCGATCTGAACTTGCGCGTGCTGCATGTGTTCGTCGGTTATCCAAAAAGTTGCCACGACCTGAGGATCGTCCACCTATCGAGTTTATGGGCACGCGCGGAGGCAGGGGAATTTTTCATTAGGCCACCTGTCATGCTGCCTTTCGGTGTGCAGACGAACGGGTATTTGTTGGGCGACAACGGTTATCCCCCCTCCGAATGGGTAGTCTTCCCTTCTGGCGGTCTCGCGCATCACCCTTCGGAGTTGCGCTTCGACAACAAGCAGAAGACGACGAGGGGAGCAGTTGAGAGAGCTTTCGGGAGACTGAAGGGGATGTGGAGGTTGTTCCTTCGCTCCCACAAGATGAACATGGACATGTTGGTGCAGCAGTTCGTCGCCGTGTGCATTTTGCACAACATACTCATCGACGCGAGCATCCCCTTCGACGACAATCTACTGTGGGAGGTCGGGCCGGACGGTGTGCGTCGCAAGACAACAATCTATTGTGGGAGGTCGGGCTGGACGGTGTGCATCCCAGGGTGGATCTTGGGATGTCGCGGCCCTTGAGGCCGATGTGTATGGAGTCGTCGACGGGGGATGCGCTGATTCTGCGGGACGCACTGGCGGAGCGGATGGGTGCGCAGTAAAGACATGCAGGCGTGCGGAGCGGGCGGTTGCGATGACGTGGCTGCGGCGAGAAATCGGAGCAGACGACGCGGGGAACAAGCGAAGAGTTTGAGTGTCGTGCATGAAGGGGTGGTTAGTTCCCCCTTCCACTGGCGGTAGTGTGCCGTCACGATATTGCTGGCCTCCGATCTGGCGGCGTTGGGTTGTGGTTCTGTGCACGGCGGGAGGCGTCGTGTCCTTGAAGGGGTGGTCATCTGCGTTGGCGTCGTTGTGTGTGTCGCCCCGTTTTGTGGAACTGGGGAGTTCATGGCGTGGTGGCTGTTTCGTTGTGGGTTGGCGTGCATGAGGTGGCATGTGTGGGCAGTTTAGTTTAGTGTTCTTTCGAAATGTGCGGCCATGAGGAGAGTATCGGCGGCGCGGGTGGATGGCGATAGCGCAGTCGAACGCGTCGTCGGCGGGGGCGACATCACGCGTGTGCACGTGTCGATCGTAATTCTTATGCAGTATGTTGTCACCGCAGGTGACGTGTCTGGGTGACGGAGTCAAATCGGGCGGTGTGTGTTCTGTTTTTCCGAAGTTGGGATTGAAGTTGCCATAAACGCTACATTTTTTTCCAAAGTGTGTCGTCTTTTGCTTTTACTACGAGTCACAACAATTTAGCAACATTTCGTGTCACTTATTTCTGTTGCGTGGCTTGTCCTCTTATTTGATGTCGATTGAAACGACAATATTTGCACGACGTTGTGTGTGTCATTTCTATAATTGCCTTCAATCCTTACATTTGCAATGTTGTCATTATCTGTATCGAGTTCCCAAAGCCTGCTATGAACATCCCTCACTTTGTGATCATCCATCGGTTCAAGAAAGCAGCCCTTACCCCTTTCCATCCCCCTTACCATATAATATGGAAATTCGAATGAAATCGAAAAAAAGCAAGCACCGCAAAGCTGTAGACTTCATGAATAACATTGAACAATTAGATGTTCGCTTTAACAGATGACAACATAGATTATCCATTTCCGAAACAAAGAAAAAAAAAACAAGGAAAGGTTCATGAAACACCCCTACGACATCCGATCCACCACAACATCGACCCACAACACGAGAACGTCCCCTCCCATGACCGATCACATACCCAGAAGGCTGCCCCCCCCCCC